GTGTGTGTGTGTGTGTGTGTGTGTGTGTGTGTGTGTGTGTGCGTGCGCGCGCGCAGCAACAACACAAAACTCATTGTGCCACTGGTGTCTCACTGTAGTGTCACTGTAATTTCAAAGGTGTCTCATTAGTGTCTCACTGTAATGTCACTGTAGTTCCATTGTTGTCTCACTGTAGTCTCACTGGTGTCTCACTGTAGTGTCACTGTAGTTCCATTGTTGTCTCACTGTAGTCTCACTGGTGTCTAACTGTAGTGTCACTGTAATTTCAAAGGTGTCTCATTAGTGTCTCACTGTAATGTCACTGTAGTTCCATTGTTGTCTCACTGGTGTCTCACCGTAGTGTCACTGGTTTCTCACTGTAGTGTCTCACTGTAGTCTTATTGGTGTCTCACTGTAGTGTCTCACTGGTGTCTGTGAGCTGTGTGCGGCTGTGCTCTATACAATGTGCTTATGCTGCTCTGAGTCTGTGGCCAGACTCTGGTGTAGTGCTACATCCTACTTTTTCATTGGCGTGGTTGCTAGGATTTGAACTTCCAGGGTAGTGCCAGAATGACAGACTTTACAGGCAGTTATGCAGCTGTGTGACTGGGTAACAGCAGCATCTGTCAGAATAAAGGCAAACACATTACAGAAAACTACAAACAAGTTAAAGAACACTGAAATCGAGACACATTTTCAAATACATATGGCATACAGTCACAGGCACTTTAATAGGTACAGCTGTTAAAGAGCCTGTGCTCCAGTCACACAAATCTCCAATCTGCCAGTCACATGGCAGCATGCAGATGTGGTGTACCGCTGCCTGAAGTTCAAAGCAATGTTTACTGGGTGCTACCCACAGTCACCTTTCTGTCAGCTCACACTGAGAGTGCAGGGCACTGCTGACTGAGACCAGGTGATCAGTACATCAGACACACCAGCTGTCAGCTGGAAAAGTGCAGTAAGCGAATCATTCACGGGAGTTGGCTTGGCTATATTCCAGTTTATTCTGACAGCAAGACTGGTTCAGTAGTTTTTTTTGTTTGTGGGCGGTAACATTTGTAGACTGAGACGTAGCTCATTTGGTGTTTGCTGTTTTCCTTAAGCCTGCATGCTGGCTTTAGATAAAAAAGCTAACAATCTAATTATAAATCAGAAACTAATTATTTTGAACACTTGTGTCACTCCGGTCTCAGCTCTTAAAATCATCATGACCTAAAATTTAATGTTAGAAGTGTTCAACATGCATAAACAACATTAAACTAATTCACTCCGTATCATTTGCAGTTTGAATGTTTGTTGTTTTGTGAATGTGTGCTGGAATATGAGACTTTGTAGGAGTGCTGCATTTTTCCTCATATTTAGCCAGTACTCGTATATTTTTTTACATCTGTCTCAAATTACAGGATCTATCTGATGGAGGAATCACTCATCTTTGGAAAAGAGAGTTTATTACAGAGAAATGGCTCTTTCAAAATAAAAGCTATACTATACGCTTCTTCTGGGCTATATTCTCAGCAGCATATTAAACATATCAGCCCCATAAGGAGAATCCTGTGCTAACGGCTGTCTAAATGACTCGGGTAAAGTTTGTAGCATGCTTGTTGTTTTTGTCTGCTTCTACTTGTCTTTGCACGAGGATGATGTCGGAGTAAATGTGCAGTCATATTCGTTGTGTTCCCACTAGTGCTGTCAGCGTTAATCTGAAATGACGTTAACGCCATAACGCGGCGAATCGCAGTTAACGAGCTACCGCGGATCGCCCCGTGCGTGGGGCTGGACGGCGCTTTGCAGTTATTTATTTGTAAAAAATGTTTGGAATCATGTATGATTTTCGTTCCACTTCTCACGTGTGCACCACTTTGTGTTGGTCTTTCATGTGGAATTCCAATAAAACTGATTCATGTTTGTGGCTGTAATGTGACAAAATGTGGAAAAGTTCAAGGGGGCCGAATACTTTTGTAAGTCACTGTGTATTAGTAAAGGTCAGTCTGCCATGTCAGCTTTGTTGATGAACCCACTAATAGTACCCTCTGGGCCCTTTCATGAGTTCCCACTCTCCAGGCCACTGGTTCCATTATCAGACAGATCTCTGGATCATTAGGTAGGATGTTGCACAGACTTTGCTGCATAGTGCATTGCTGGTGTGATCCACAGTCGAGCACCTCAGGTCTGGCCTGCGAGCCTGAGTAATGTAGCAGAATAAGTAAATGGAGCAAGGTGAAATGCTGAGCAGTGTTAGGATCAGAATGCACCCTTGTATGAAAACAGAACGAGGTGATTGTAACTACCACTCGTGTCTTGCACAAGCATGGGAAGAGTGAATACAGAGGATCAGGTCAGCTGTTACAGTATGAGGGACTCGTCTTTGCATCGGAGCTTTAACAGCTGGTCATGCTGAGGCCACTCCCACAACGAAATAACATCTTAGCCCAACACTTTCATATCGGTCACATTGTACACCACGCTGATACCATACTTGATAATGGGACACCGAGAAAACATGCGACTATTGTTACTAACTACTTTATGTGTAACACTTTGTAGTGTTTGAACTTGTCGTCTGTTCTGTCTGTACTTTTCCAGGTATGTGAGGACCTCAGCCAGTGGACTGTTCTCCTGCGGTCCTCTACCGTTTGTGCTCCACGAATAGACAATATTTTTTTCATCATAGAAGCTACAGAACATAAAGTGGGCTCTCCTTCTCATCGGCCGTCTAAAAAGAAAGTAAGCAATGTGCTTTCTTAACATCTGTTCTCATTATGAAGCAACAAGCTTGTATGTATATAAATATAAATGAAACACTGACTGGGTGACTGGCTCCAGCACAGCTCAGGACAGATGTCTAAGAAGAGCACAGTCCTGGGAACAGCAAAGATACTGCACAGGAACCTCGAGCTCCCAGCCTCTGGTAGAGGACCCGAGCATGAGGGTTAAAGACAAATGTCAAAATTTAAAAATAATGAAATTAATAAAATTTGGATTTTGTTTGGTAAGCTCAGGAAAAAAAGGTGGAGGTATCTGCTCATTTATTCAGTAGTTTCTCTTGATCGCAGCTTTTCTGCAGTGTAAAACAAAACTATTCATCAAAGTAGTCATCCTCTGCCCCTGACTGATTGGATGCTGTAATAATGAAACTAATAACAGGAGAGTTGCTCCAGGAAAAGAAGCCCAATAGTGCCCTCTACTAGAGACGTTCATCAGTTACTACACCTTTTAACTTTTCAATAAAAGTTAAAAGGTCCCATGTCATGCTAATTTACAGGCAAGATTCAAACAACAACAAAAATGCCCCATTTCTTTCAAAGAAACTCATAATTTAAACGCCATGTTTGTCCTCACCATTGCTCACCAAGAGACCGTAACCGCAAAAGACTTGAGACTGGGGCGGAGGTTCAGCTTCCAGCAGGACAACGACCCTAAACATAAAGCCAGGGCAACAATGGAAGGGTTTAAAACAAAACACATCCATGTGTTAGAACGGCCCAGCCAAAGTCCAGATCTAAATCCAATCCAGAATCTGTGGCAAGATCTGAAAACTGCTGTTCACTAACGCTGCCCATCTAATCTGACTGAGCTGGAGCTGTTTCAAAGAAGAATGGGCAAAGATTTCAGTCTGTAGATGTGCAAAGCTGGTAGAGACAGACCCTAAAAGACTGCAGCAAAAGCTGGTTCTACAAAGTATTGACTCAGGGACTGAATAATTACGCACACCCCACTTTGCAGTTATTTATTTGTAAAAATGTTGGGAGTCATGTATGATTTTCGTTCCACTTCTCACGTGTGCACCACTTTGTGTTGGTCTTTCACCTGGAATTCCAATAATATTGATTCATGTTTGTGGCTGTAATGTGACAAAATGTGGGAAAGTTCAAGGGGCCGAATACTTTTGCAACCACTGTACTTCACTTTGTCACATTCAGAAAGTTCCCTTAATCGTAGCTGAGGGCTTAAGATTATGTGAATGCTGATTTTTGTCAGTGACGTGGTTCTAAAGTGATAATTTTCTTTTAAATGGCTTTGGCTGGTTGTCACTTTTGTCCTAATGAGCTGATGCTTGTTCCAACAGAAAGAAAAACGGCTGAATGTAGAGTTGGCTGTGCTTTAATACAGAACTATGAAGAGAAGGGAGCATCGGCCATACGTAACGTTAGCCACATTAGCTACCCACCATGCTAATGGGACAATCCCATTGTTGTAATGTTGCCGTCACAAATCAGAGTACTTCACCAGGTCTTTGTACTTAAGTGTGTTTGTAACACAAGCGTCTGTAGCTAGCATGCAGCTGGCAGGTGCTGACGTGACATCAGTGTAAATGAGGCCGTTGTTTCCTTGTTGGAGCCTTTGTGCCTCTTTAAAACACTACACTGAATGAACTGGCACAAAAGGCAGAATGTGGATAATAATGGTTTTGGTGGTTATGATGGTTTTCATATTTAGTATTTTAGCAATGTTAAATGTAGCACACAGAAAAATATGCATTTAACAAATATGGGATAAAGTACATGTTCTTCTGGTTTGTGCTGATGGAGCCATTGATGCTGTTCGGATGATGCTGTGGTTGTTATTAGGTTAGCTTTTATGAAGTGAGGTGAAAATAGACATGTGACCATCATTACAGGCTTATAGTTTCTGTACTAATCCCTCCTTACACCAGGTGATGATGTAGTAGGCGGGGCATGCTGAACTCTAACACGTGTCACTGTGTGTTGTGCAGGTGCTGAAGTTGTCCGACTGCTGTCTCCCTGTGGCGTGTTGCCCTGGCCAGCCGTTCAGGGCAGTCGCTCGAGCCAGCGTGGAGAGCTACAGCCAGCTCGGGATAGCTTTCATAGAAGATCGCCTCCAGCTGGACAATGGACTTACGCCCTCAAAGATAGTCCGTATGTTGTCTTCAAGTAGATTTTCTACGATGTTTTTGTTACATGGTATCACACCTCACAGTTCCTTACTCATGTCTCGTTTGCATCGAGTATTATGTTGATCAGCGTGATTAATAAAGCCCAAAGAAAACAGCAATTTCCTGTGCCAACACCTTCATCTTGTCACCGTAGAGAAAGCGATGAGGTTCGTACTGAAATTCTGTTGGTCGGGTTTTGCTCCACCCCTCTACCAAACGCCCTAATATACTTCCCCGAGGTCGTGTTCATGTAGTACTGCAGTGATGACGTTCAGAAGGAGAATAAACTTTCTTATTGTTAGTTTACGTTTCCAAGATAAAAAGGTAGAAGCGTGTTCTCACTAGAGCTGGGCGATAGAACGATAACGATATGTATCGCGATATAACTTTTACTCGATAGAGAAATTAAGCTATCGCGATAGACCTCGCCGCTCTTGTCCTCTTAAAAAAAAAAAAAAAAAGTAGCGCAGAGCCAAACCAATCACAGCCGCAGCGTCACGTCGCGTGACTTGTTACGTACAGCACAAGTGCCAAGCCGCACGTGTGTTTGTTTGGGAAGCAGCCAGCGGGTAATGGAGGAAATGAGTGTGCCGACTAGAAAAATCAATCGAGCGTGACCGAAGAGAAAACAGATGATGGTTCCAATGCCGGAGAGATTGTCGAACGAAGAGCCATAGAAGTTCCGTAGTGTGAAGGTATTTCGGCTGTTTCAAGTCTGACAAAAAAACAGAGTAGCGTGCACTGTAAATTGTGCCGAAAGCAAGTCTGGAAATACAATAAACTGGTGCATGCGTCACACTGTGCGCCACGTTATTGTTTCGGTGAAATGAATTTCTACAATACTGTTACTGTTAATTCTACTCTCTGCAGTGTTTAAATGCTTACATATACACACAGTTACTGTCCGTCCACACATACGACTCGGTTCTGCTTCTATGCCCCAGCTTTGTTTACTTTTTCCCACCGAGGCTTCTAGACTTCTGATTGGCCAATATTTCTGCATGGTTAGGAATATAGCGCCACCTGCTGCTTTGGCATGTTCATAGCAGCGTTTTCCTTCATTTCTGCCTTTATGTGTGGACGGGATTATTTTTTAAAACGAAAACGGAAAATCTCCGTTTTCAAAAATACCCGTGTACGTGTGGACGTAGCCTCAGTCTCTGACTGGAAGCACTAATTCGTCATTCGGCTTTTGTCAGACTAAAGTAACTGTTAAAACTGTTTGAAAAGCTCAGCTATACAACAAGGAGAGATTGAGAATTTCCTTTTAGTTCTCAGTTTATTTGATATTGACAAAAGTTATTCAGTTTTGTCTGTTCTTCTGTAAAACAAACTAAGATTTATTTTTAGAATTAATATTTTTTTTCTAAGTGGAATTGACAGTTTAGTCTGTTTCGTTTGTTCTATTTTGAAACTTAAACGCTTTAGCGGCTGCCTTTTGTGTAGTTTGCAATATTTGCCTTTATTTATCTGAAAAGGTCTCATGTTCCTTAAGTACATCTACCCTGTTGAACTTATTATGGGAAATAAATATTTAAATAAAAACAAGCTGCTGATTATTTCACATTTTACTTGTGAGCAACGGCACATTTAAATCTTACAAATATAGTTATTTGGCTTATATCGTGATAGATATCGTTATCGCCTGAAATGAAAAAACAAACAAAAAACATATCGTGATATGAAAAAATCTCATATCGCCCAGCTCTAGTTCTCACCCTGTAGTGTCTGAAGTAGCTTTTTAAACTCAGCCTTGCATCCAGCAGCAGCAGGAAAGTGCTTTCACTCACAAAACCTCATATACAACGTTGAGCTTACAGGTATAGAGCTGCACAGTTTAAACTTAAACTGTCTCATGACCCATTGAAGAGTTACAGACATTTTTTGACTGTTTTCAGGAGCTCAGGTTTAAATAATGTCACAAACATATTTTCTGTCGTCTGTGAGGAAGTTGTGACCTGTACCTGCCCGACATGTGGAACTCTACAGCCACCGAGCTTCTTACCCCATCATGACATGAGCTGTAGCTTCAGAGGTAGAGCAGGTCATATACTAATTGGAAGGTTGCTGGTTCGATCCCTGGTTGTCAAACATGCCTGCATGCCAAATATCCTTCGGAAAGTTGCCAGGTTGCTCTCTGATGCAATGAATGTGTGTGATTGTTACATAGAAACATAAGATAATTCTTTGTCATTGCACAGTCATCCATAGTACGATAGTGAAATGAAATCGGAAAATTGTCCCACGTCGGCACTACGAACAACACAAAACGACACAACACAGAAACTTATGTAATAAAAATAAGAAGAATAAGCGCATGTGTATTGCACATTGTTATTAATGCTTGTGTGTGTGTGTGTGTGTATTTATTTATTCATTTATTTATTCAGTGCTTCTTTTCCCTGCTGTATTTGTGTATAGGGTTAAGCTTTTATACCAGGGATGTCCAACTGCAGGCCTCGAGGGCCGGTGTCCTGCAGGTTTTAGATCTCACCCTGGGTCATCACACCTGAACCACATGATTAGTTCATTACCAGACCTCTGGAGAACTTGAAGCCATTTAAATCAGCTGTGTTGGATCAAGGACACATCTAAAACCTGCAGGACACTGGCCCTCGAGGCCTGGACTTCCCCACCCCTGCTTTATACCTCTGTGGTGTAGCACAGCTGAATGAAAGGTTTCAGCGGCTCTGAGCTGTTTGTTCTCCGAAGCTGCTGGATACCAGAACTGTACCAAAGAGCTTACATTGTTACTGTTTTACTGTTCAGTAGTTTAGTGGTTGACAGAAACAGTTGTTTAAAGTTTGAATACAAAGATAGATCAGTAGATGGTTCTGATGTTTTTGTGGTGTGGTTGTATTTCCACAGCTGTCCTCCTGCAAGAATCCACTCTGAGTGCACTGCTGGACCAGCAGTGTCCACAGAGCCCACGGGCACAGTCGTCACTGCTTCCCTGTAGCACTGGAGAGCCCATAGCTCGCCACCATCATCTGCAGTGCCGTAAAGGCAGCTTCCTTCTCATCCCAGAGGTAAAGAGGAGGTTAGAGGACCGGCGAGGGTCAGAGCCACTCCGCAGCTCCCAGGATTTGGAATCTCTCGGTGACTTGGAGGAACACTCCCTGGGGAATCATCACCACATGGAGGGCCACGGACACCACCTGCATCTGTCCAGCTGCCATGAATGTCTGGAACTGGAGAACAGTACTATACTCTCTGTCAAATATGCCTCCGCTGAGAATATTCCAGACCTACCGGATGATAACTCTGTTGGAAACGAGTGTCTCGATGAACTTGAAAATGATTCCCGAGGGTTTTTTGGTCAAAGCGGTGGCAAACTCCCAAATGTTCTCGTCTACACGGGGGGCTGTCAGGAACGTTTTCAGACAGTTCGCCAGCTTTTATCAGAATGTATAAACACGGAAAGTAACATCATCTATCCGCTCCAGCCAGAGCAGGCACTGAATGATCCCTGGCTGGAAAACACAAGACTCCTGGTACTGGCAGAAGAGGAAACCCTAAGTCCCCAGCTTCAGACCCGCTTTCTCACCTACCTGAGCCAGGGGGGCAAAGTCCTCGGGCTAGCCTCTTCTCTGTGCCCTGCAGGACTCTACCTGGAAGTCAGGCAGAGCCAGTGCATGCAGGTCAACAAGCTGAATTTCACCAAGGAAGACAGCACAGAGCTGAATCTGAGTATACTGGCGAGTGGGAAAGTCTACATCAGGGATCCTCGGGGGGGAGGAGAAGTTGAACTGTGGGGGGAGCTGAAAGGGGATGTCCCCCATAAGAAGGATATGGTTATTGTACGACTGACCCACGGAGGGGACAGTGGAGAAGCTGTTCTTTGTCAGGTAAACCCATGTAAAGCATGCTATTCATTGTCCTCGGGGACAATGAATAGCATGCTTTTATTGAGGCCCGCAGTAGTGCTAACACATGTGGGACAGTGAACCTGCATGCTGTTGTATTTCTGTAGGGTCAGATCAAAGCAACAGTTGCCTCACACATAAAGACCATGTGATGTTAGAGAGAAAAGCCCAACATTCAGGCGATCCCATGTCCAAGGACTTGGCGGCAGTTGGAAAATCTCTTAACGGGAAGAAAGAGGTTCAGATGTGTGAGGTCTCAGTGACTGACATGAGTGTGAGTGGCTCAGTGGGTACTCCCCACCACAGGAGTGCAGCAGCCTGGATTCAACTCTGATGTTTGCTCTTTCTCCTGATTTTCCATCTTCAGTGCTGCACTGTCCAATAGAGGCAAAAATGCCTTCAGGTGAAGGATAATTGCATCATGGGATGTTTCCAGCAGTCTGAGCCTATAGCAGCAGATCTAAGAGAAGATCAGCTGATCTAGCAGTCTCCCTATAGCACACGATTCCTTTATTAATGGTGTACCTAGCAGTAAATTAACTGCCACAGCAGCCTGAAACTTCTATAATCCAGGAACTGTTCTGTCCTCGGTTTGCAGTCGGGTCTAGAAATATTATCATAATTATTATTATCATTATTTATGCATTCTGAATGAATCCGGGTGCTGACAGTGGGTATGTGGTACTGCTAACTGTTGGGCTAGTAAATGAAGCCCGGTGTCATATGATGTCTAGATTACAAGCAGATTTATTAGGTGCAAATATTTGCAGTATAAAGTAAATAATACTCATTTTTGCTGCCACATCAATGTTTCCTGCATCTTCTGATGTTTTTACTTAAACATGTATATCTGCAGGTCCACTTTGAAACTGCTCCCAACTCTCAGAATTTGCCATTGGATGCTTTTGATGAACTGAAGGTCAACAATGCCTCGCGGTATGAAGTCTTGACAGAAATCCTCACCTCTCTAGGCCTCAAATGTGAACCAAGTCAGACTCCAAGTCCAAGTGCGGTACACCTGCTCGCTACCTCTCAGGTAAGATACTCAGCGTTCTTGTGTTCAAGACTAAGAACAGCTTCATGTCCTATTGGCTCATCTCTCCATGTGAAATAGGTTCAGTGAGTGCCTCCCACCTGAAGTACAGTAGCTTTGCTTCATTAAATGTGCTACATTTTAAATATGAAGTACTATAGTTACTGTAAGTTACAGGGTTAGGATAAAGTTACTCTCTTCTTTTTCTGGCATTTTGAGACCTCATAACTTGTTGAGTAAAGGAGCTAGCCCACATAATTTTGGGGACTGAGCCTTTGTTGAAAACTGCAACAGAATCAAGTTGCATCACGTTTTCTATCACTTTGATTAAATTGTATTAATGCTCATTCTAATTAATCATAGTTTTTTAATAACATGGTAAAGGTGTCCTTTGTTACGTCCGTAGCGCAACATAAAGCTCAAACACGGGTGTCCCCGCCCCGGCCCCCAAAGCCACAAACCCAGTAGCCAATTCAAAGTTAAGGTGAGCTTTATTGCTCCACCAGCTTAAACTCCGGGGTGAACCATGGCCAGAATAACCAACAAAACGAGCTGTTCCAAAGAAGTGCTACCTAAACCCTGTGTGAAAACTGAACCAAACCCTAACTCTAAAAGTTAATAAACCAGACACATGCACATTCAGTTAACGGTGTATCTGAGGCACCCACGTTGATGTAGTTCCTGCATTATACTAGTGTAGATCCAGGATCAACACTGCAACTGACCTACCACACTGCAAAACTATGACATCATAACAATGTGGGGGAAAAAGGCAAATAAGATGCCTTTGTTTAATCTGAACTCGTGTTAGGGAGCAATAGTAGAAGGTAACTCTTGTCTGGTAGACTTCTGTGGAGGGACGGTGCTGCCAGCAGGGCGGGATTGCCAGAACATTTTAAATCTACCAAGATTGTTCATTACATGTTTGACACAGCGTTTATTCCGTTTGGCAATATTACAGCAGCAACAAGCTAACACGGATCATCTATGATCACATTTAGATGTTGAGAATGAAGACACCCATCTAACTTCATGAATAGTTGTTTTCCTGGCCTTGTAGAAGAGGGCTAGGTCACACAATGACACACTGTTCACAACCCAAGGATGGAAACAGAGTTTGAAAGCACCGAAGGCTCCAAACTTGTTTGCGCTGAATAATTAGAAAATGTCTTTGACGCAGAAGGAACCTCGTCTAACAGATGAAGCTGATTGGTGCTGTCGTCTGCTGCAGCTTCTTCCAACCACTCACCATCCAACATGGTGACATGACCTTTGAAAGTTCACCTAAGATGCTCCTTATAAGGTTTGAATATGGAATTGTGGGCACATGTAGGGTGCACAGCTGAACTCTGCGTCCATTGTTAAGTGCCATCAGGTCCTTAAATGGTGACAGCTGTGTCCACATCCTTGGGATGGTGTTGGATTCCACCTGTGCTTGTCTCTAATTCTAGGCCATACGTGTCAAACTGTTCAGTGCTGCCCAAAGTAAGGAGCTTCAAGTATCCTGTGGTTCTGGAGTCTTCGTAGGAAGATGGATTGGTGCAGACTCTGCAGTAATGGCACATTTGCCAGACTGTAAATGGACTGGTTCTTGTATATCACATTTCTACTCTTTATATAGAAATGTGTCTCAGTGTTTAGTCTGTATCCAATGGCTTAATCCCTCAGAGTGCCGGTGAGATGTTGGTAAGTCAGCTGACTGTAACTGAATCATTGACAGCACTGTTACAAGGGTGTAACTTGGTTTACTGCAGTAATCCGAACTGTCCATCAAAGTGACCAATCACATTAGGAGCCTGCTCCTTTTAGGCTCTGCCCTCCAAACTCTCAAAAACCAGTTAGATCCAGTGCAGGATTCAGGTTGGAGAGCGCAGCGTTACCACAGAGTGCTAATCTGCTACAGCCCTGATAAAGCAATCAGTGTTGTGTGAATGATGGCTAACTCACAGCTGCTGAGATATTTACTCAAAAGTAATTTCATTTTTTATATAAATATAATACGTTAGTTCATTTAATTTGATTGGTGTCTTGGCTCATATTGAGGAGGACACTTTGGCTCTTCATCCAGGCCAAGAAAAGGTGACACATCTGAATTACAGATCCTCAGTTCACAGTGAACCTGCAGGTTTCCTCTGCTCTTTACTGACTTCGGTGAACTTTCCCATTGTTCTGAGTGCTGTCAGACACTGGAAACTGGAAATATTCATGCCCTGTGTGTGTGTGTGTGTGTGTGTGTGTGTGTGTGTGTGTGTGTG